ATCAAGCAAAATCCAGAATGCCGAAGTTAAACAAGTTGACCACCATGGAAAATCAAAACAAGGGTGAAGAGGTGATTGCTTAAACCCACAATGTCTACACCTCCTGCTGCCTTTTGCTGTCTGCAACCAGATGGGTGAAGGCAGTTACTCTGAAAGTTATTTAATTTCTAAAAGTAGAAACAGAACCACCCAAAGTTTCTACAGTATAGAACTCTCAAACCACCACCCTTATAAAGGTCTTTAAAATTAAAAAAAGTAAGTAACTTATAAATTGTCAAACTTTTCAAGTATGACATGAGAAAGCTGAGGCAAACCCAGCTACTTGAAGTTAGTTTTTCCAGTCCCATTATACTGAGTAAAAAAACTGCTTTTATAACTAAGTTAGTTATTCAAGATCACCCTTGATAAACTAACGACTTCTAAATAAGTTTTCCATGATTGAAAGTTTATTATTTAAAATAAATTTATATTTAGTATAAAAAATAGTAAAAAAACTCTTCTAGTTGTATATTTCTAATCCATTATTTTTTTAGTTTATTTATGAATAAGGAAACATTATCCATGAGAGTTATTACTACTGCATACCATTAAAGAATCTTTTCACTTATGACATAATAATCCCTTTTAACAAAACATTAGGAATAACACTATGGAGAGTAGATAAACCAAGGATGGGAAAATTAAGTTTCCTTCTTTTATCAAATATCAGAACTCTGCCTTCTACAAAATAAATGTCTATATCTAGATAATTGGCATTAGAATCATTGCTATTGCTTTTTTCTGTAGTCAGTTCCTTAGGATATATTATATTTGGGATGAAGTTAAAATTATTTATTGGAATTAAATCATCAGTATGTTGGAATGTATAGTTTAATGAATTGAGATCTAAACTTTTTTTTTTAAAAAATGAATATTCATAGAAGAACAAATGTAAATTGGCCATATTTGAAGAGAAATTAGCACCCGTTGGAATATCCACCATTTGTTTATAGATCTGTTGATTAAAAGTTATATAACCATTATAAATCCGGAAGTACAGTAGTTTTTACATTGGATCTTAGTGAAGTTATATTTTGTAATACCCATCTCTGCATCCATAGTTATCAAACAGGTTATTAATATTCTAACAAGGCCTTTTAAATCTGTTGTAGTATATAATGTAGTATAATTGTAAGCTGTGACTGAATTAGCTGTTTTTAAATAAACTAGATTATTTAGATATTCTATAAATGTAATATTGGTTTTTATAATCCAAAAAGAATTTTTCTGAATATTTTGGTAACACTGTTAAGTACAATGGAAATGGATATGGTAACAGTATTTAAAGAGTTGGTAATAAATCTAAATTTTACAGGATTCTTAT